GTACATGTGCATGCCAACCTTGGAAGACACCATGATGACACCCACCCAACAGTGAGAATAGTGGGTGTGTGCGTAAGCGCTTCGCGGCCTCGAGCTTTGGCATGTGAGATAGGCAAGAGGTGGTTGCACCCTACTCATCACAACATGGGACGAGCGCTCGGCAGATAGTTGTATCTCCCAATCTTGAAACTCATATCCTCGACTAGCGCCCGCCTTCCCGATCGAGACTCTGTCAGATGCAGCGCAGACGCAGCGCTGACGACAACTAATTACATACGGTTCTGCCTTGTACGGATGGGTCCATGGCGAGGCTGATGTCTGGGTCGAAACTTGTCGCCATGCGCAAGTCTCCATGGTCGGGCCTGTTGGACGTGCAGATGCAATGCAGCATGCGCGACAGTCCTCCGTAAGTACTAGCCAATGAGCGGCATGATTAGTCGATTAGGAAGGCGCCATGTATAGTGTTGTTGCTGCCTTGACAAATGGGAGTTGACAATGTAGAGCTGGGCAGGATGCAGAGAGATCGCTTTTTCTCAGAAGTATCAGGGCGATGATGGAGGGTTTACTTTTTACCCTTCGCCGGCCGCACATGGCGTTTATAGCGTCGCTGGATTCGACGGCTGGGTAGCAAACGGCCAGGGTGTTCGGCCGGGTGTCAGCTAAGCAGGGGAGGCGGAGGAATGCGTGCCCTCAGCCAATCACGTGGGCGTCGTTGTATCGATAGGCCTGTCCCGCGCGTACCCAGACTCCGGGGAAGTGTCTGAGGCAGCCGTGACTAAACCGCTGCGGGCGGCGTGCATACGTGCTAAACAGTCACGGCCCAAAAGTATCCACGGCCTCTTTCCCCTCGTGTGCCCACCAGTTCTGTCGCGTCCGTCGCGTCCTCCCAGCTGCGCCCTGCCCGTCTATAAAGACCCGTCGCTCCTCCCCTCGACGTCGCCTGGTTTTCGCAGTCTGCTCGCACATCCTTCGGTACGCCCTCGGCCCCACCAGAATTTCCCTTGGAAACGTGCTAACGGGATGAAAGCTTCAACAGGAACCGCGACATGTCTCTCTCCTAGACTATTCGCGTCCTATGCGGGATGCGCTGCCATCAACACCAATGGCGGGGTTCGGCGACCCAAATACTCATGTCACGCGACAAAGCCATGGTGCGCCGTCGCAACCAACTCCCTCGAGACGATCGCTGCCAGACGGGCCGTGCAACTATCGCGACGCGCATATAGGACAGTGTGGATGTGACCAATTTTGGGACAAGCTCAGCGCCGAGCTGCATGATGAGAGCGCCGACCATCGGCCTAGCAGCGAGCGCTCCACGTGGTGTGTTTGCGGGCACCATGCCTGCTTCCATCTGAGGGCGACGCGTGCGCCAGAGAGGCAGGCGCTGTCGATCAATCTCCCGCTGCCACCACTGTATGCGACAGGGGAAGAGCCGCGCCAATTGCAGGCAAGCGCGCAATGCGACACGAGTGCTGCGATGCGACAGCTGGGGGGCAACCTTCTGTCTGAAGGGGGTCAAGCCATATACAATGCGCGCATGCATCAACACTCCAGTCCTAGCCAGCGCCCCCAGCGACAGCCCTCCGAGACCAACTCGTTTGGTCGCTTGCTACAAAGTCAGGATACTCCATCACAAATCAGCACCACCGGCCTTCCTGGACTTCCTTCCGTGTGCTTGCTATCTCATGAACGCCGCCCAGTAGCTAACAGCGAAGCTAGGTATGGCGTGAATCAGTCGCGCCAGACGGTGGCAGGTCTTGGTCTATCTATGATGAACTTGGAGAGCATGGCTCAGCTTAACCGTCAACAGTCGCCTACATCCACTATACCCGACGACATCAACATCGCCCATACCCCGCGAAAGCTACCCAACGAGCCCGTCATCTCCCCGGGCAGAGCGAACATCACCAGCCCATCGCGCGGTATCCTCGAGCAGGTACTTGAGTTCAATCGTAACTTCCAGCCCGACGAGCCTGGCGATACCATACCCAACACCTACAACCCCGAGGAATATGTACAAAGCGCTACCGAGGTGGCTACTCCAAGCGTTGGGCACACTCCAGATCTGAGCGCTGCTGATCGGGCTGTACAGGACGGGAAGGACATGATTGACGCAATGAAGCGCATCACCTCGGAAATCCAACAGCAATCGACCAGCTCGCCTGAGCGACAGACATATGGCACAGTTCCCACCCAGCTCTTGCCCAAGAACGCTACAGCAGGACCACAGGAACAGCTGCAAACCCTCCTCCAATCGGCTCCACCACAAGGTCTCCAGAAGCTTGTCTCCTACCTTGCCCCTCTCCATAATCTGCTGAACTCGATACCCAATGTAGCCAAAACCATGCAGGAACTTGGTAGCCGCCTAGACTTGCTGGAGAATGGATCTTTCAACTACGTTCAGCCGGAAGATCTTAACAACACCTTGGAGATGTACGAGGGTAGGCTAATTGACGTGGAGCATCGCATGGATGAGCATGAACGCATGCATGAAGCTATGGACGAGCAAAGTAGCACCAGCTCCTTTAGCCGAAGGCGCATCGACAACGCCACCACGTCGTTTGGCTCCAATCACTCTGTTGATTCCAGCACTTCCTCCGCCCTTATCCTCGCGGCCATGGATCGCAAAGATACAGAAATGGAGCTTGACAACATTAAAGAGAGATTGGATGTGCTGGAATCCGCGGCGCCACCCACATCGCTCCAGCCTTGGGAAGTTGAGGTTGTCCTACTGCCATGGGGTCCGGACTTGAAAGGCATCTGGTTCTCTCCTGATGAACCCATGCATGACATAGCGAAGACAACAACCCAGAACTCTGAAGAGTGGACCCAAGCTCATACCTTGAAGACTATAAAAAGCCTGCCATTCCTCGGACGGGACTCCGATTCGAGCCCCTACCCTGGTGCTCGCAACTCGGTCAGAGGATCTATCCCTAGCCAGGCCGACAACGGGTGGAGTAGTCAGGACATTAGTAACTGGGCTTCGGGATCTGCGGATGATTGGTTGTTTCCCAAAGCTTGTGGAAGCAACAACCTAGTCTACAAGCGACTCCAAAGCAGGGGTTTTGTCCGAGATGTTACGTTCAAGGGTTCCAGCGCCAAAGATATCCAAGAAGCCTTGTCACATGCATTTTCTGATGTCTTCGATTACCTGCAGTACGACGACAGCGACGAAAACCCTATGATCTCTGCCTACCCAGGTCTTCGAGCGCCCTACATACCACTTCGAAAAGTACTCAAGGAGTCGCGACTACGTTTTCTTACGCCCGCCGAGATGTCCAGCAGTGCGCTCTGGAATGCTCAGTTTCTCTCAGCCGGTGTCATGATGAGAGTTTCCGGTGGAAAGAAAAGGCTTTACGTCACCGTCCGCGAAGCCTATACCCAACAAGTTGATCGCAATGAGTTCGTTGTCATGGAACAGTCATGGCCTGAGCTGCGCCAATTACCTCGCTATCAACCCGAGCAAGACTCGCAGATGGAGGGCAACGACGAACAGTGCCAAGCGCATGTCCCTGAAGCGGATGCAAAAGAAGCATGTTGGCAGTTCGTCGAGACATACGATGCTCCGCCTGCTAGTGTGCATTCGTCTTTCGGAAGCAATCAGTCCGTCCAGCTCTCCATGCGCCCTGCTGGTCGAAATTGGCGACGGTCAATCACTCCCAACTCGATACTGAAGAACAAGCAACCTCAGCCCATCTCTCCACTAAGCGAGAACCATCCGCAACGTCCACTCTACTACCGCAACCGTACGGTATCTGCTTCGGTCGTCGATACCGTAACACCTCGTCAATCAAAACGCCGATTCAACCCCTCCATCGTTGAGCAATCCTCTGCCCCGCAGGTAATCTCACGTGCACCCAGCCTGCCGTCTGCGAGGCTGAAACGCCGTCGCGTAACGAACTCCTCATCCCCACGACCCGAGGAAGCACACGTCACGATATGGAACGCAACCCCTCGGCAATCACGAGAACCGCCTTCACCCTTCTACTCCTCACAGCCCGCACTACCACGATCGAACTCAGACGTCATGAGCAGACCAAGTCAGCGGTCCGTCGCCATAGCAGGTAAATCAACGCCTTTCGCCTACGCGACACCGCACTCAGGACCCTTCCCGGCTGGTCCTGGTTTCAACGCTTACAACAATGGCGGAGACACCGAACCAGATGACGACAACGACGCGTACGATAACGATGACGGCGAGAAAAGCTGGCGTGGCGTCACCGATGACGACAATGACCATGACGACAGCGCTTCGAGCTCGGTCCTGAACGCCGAAACTGGTGCGCAAGAAGGAGCAAGCTTCTCGGGCGATGATAGCGGGTTTGGAAGTGACAACGGAGAGGATAGTGATGCGCCGTCGGAAGACGACGGGGAAGTCTATGCGCAGCGTCAAAATGGCCAAGACGATGAAGATGAAGATGAAGACGACGAGGATGTGTTTGACTCTTTGCTTAGTATCATCGAAGCGTAGATACGTGGGGTTGATATACGGATGGTTTGGATTAGGTTATCACATCATGCAAGAAGAGCAAGGAATCTGGATATTCGACATCCAGCTAGGAGCATTTGAAGAGAAGCACACACACACATATCGGCATAGGCGTTCTAAGGCAGGGAGATCTTGTACTATATTGCTTCCATCGTACTTGCAGCGTTTTGTTCTCCGTTTTCGGAACCTTGTTCTTTCGGTTCCTGGTTAGCGGGGTGTGTCTTTGTATACTACTAAAATTGGTCGTTGGGGTATGGTTATACGGTTAGCACAGTGGTGGTGGTTGTCAACACCTCTTCTCTCTACACTTATGGAGGGTGAGTTGGAAAATGAACAGTTTACATTTAGGTCTTCTTACATCAACTGATTGTGTGTGAGAACGGTAACAGTGATTCCTCTTTCATTGACCATCGCACAAATGACAATTCAATGAACCAGCTTCTGGCAAGAGTCGAACGACCATACATCTCGCACTATCTCCCTCGATGACCGAGTCCCTCCGTCTAGCCTATCAAGACGATGAAGCAACGCCAGCACCGATCGTGAAGCCAACGGCGTCTTTTAAGACAGCAGTCTCGTCAAGTACACAGAAGCAACCGACCCACAAGCCCTTACCCTCATCACCACCGAAGCTCAGTCTGTCCACGGCTGTAACAAGCCTAGCGTGAGGAGTCGCGCCGGAAAATATCTCCATCGCACCTGCCGTCATGAATAGCTTCTTGAGTCCAGAGAAGAATACACGTATGTGTGGTTGAGGTCTACTCGTCATGTGAAAACGGTGTCCGTACATGTACCCCATGCCGATGGAAATTGCGGTAATGGCTCTAAGTTGAATTGAAGCCAGCTTCTCTGTGAAAAGGTCAAGTGCATCCATCGAGTTGAAATGGAAACAGTTGGTCTTGAACTGGAGGAGAGCGGTTTCGTGGTAAAGTTGACGGCAGACGCGTGTGACGGTCAGGATTTGATCAACACCGTCGAGACTACATGTTGCGCCTCGGAAGTCGGACAGATCTTCTGTGGAGATGCTCCGGTTCAAGTAGATACCTAACATGTAGTCTCTGCGAGATTTGGGGCATTGGTTGTTTACGAATTGGTGTGCTATGGCGAGACGACCCTTTAGTTGGGGCCCTGGGCGTACGGATGGATTGCAGTGGACTGCCACGATGACGGTGTATCCTCCAACAGCATAGCCGAGTATTCTGTTGCGCAGCTCGCCCGGAAGACGAAGAAGCGGGGATTCGGTCGAGTTGCGGGTAGTACTGCGCGTGTTAGCGATCAAGATGGTCTTTCTGCTGCAGCCAGGCTCTGTCACTTACATCTCTGATACCGCACCAGATACTTCGGCATCAATTGATGCCATCTTGTCGATGTAACCGCGCGTCTTGGGCTGCGAACACAGTAGAGGGTGTGAGAACTAAGAAAGGTGAGATAAAGTGGCAGGAGCGAACTTGTCAACAAACAAAAGTCCGTGCTGAAACTGACGCGGTGAGTGACCAGCGTGCTGACACATCTTCTATCTGTAATTTCCGACGAGTAAACAGATGGACGAAGGATCCAGAAGTACATAATGATATCAAGATGTCCAACATTCCTAGTCTATACCTAGGTACCGCTTTGAGCTACAGAGTGAAGGCAGCTCGAGAGACCTATTGCAGCTTTTCAATTCCTTTCTAATGTGGCATGAATGTAGCATAGAAGATTGAAGCATCATTCGCATCACCCGACATTGCTAAAGCTGTGTTGCTCACCAATTATGGTGATTCCGCGGTGACGTCATGACATGTGAATGTGACAGCTGCATATGCTGGGCAACCTCTTAATTCCACGAGACGTCACTTACGGTAATGAAAACGCGTGTATATTAGAAAACAATGTTGTTACATCTGATTCCAAAGCAACCGTCTTTACTTCCCTACTACTACCCACCTAGCATTATCCTAATTACACATTTTCGCTAGACATCCAACATGCAGTCCGTTCTCCACAAAGTCATTGGCCCCAAAGAGGTACACCCAGAGAACCTCGAGGGCCGCGTCGCAGTAGTCACCGGTGGTGCTCTTGGGATCGGGTATGACCAGATCCTCCTTCCCGCCTTCAATTCTCCGCTAATATTGTTGAAGGTATGAAGTCAGCCGCGCACTCGCCCTCGCAGGCGTAAAAGTCATCATGGTCAACCGTAAAGAAGAGCAAGGCGCCGATGCCATCTCAAGCATCAAGAAAGAGAAGGCCGACGCGCAGGTCGAATGGAAACACTGCGACATGGGCAGCCTGAAGGAAGTCAAAGAAGTATTCTCCGAACTGCGCAACTCGCTCGACCGTCTCGATTTCCTCGTTCTGTCCGCAGGTATCAACACGAATTTCTACGGGGAAGATGCTGATGGCATTGACCGTCACTTTGGCGTGAACTTCCTCGGTCACTTTTACGTGTGCAACCAACTCTGGCCGGTACTTCGCAAGACGGGTAAGATGGGCACGAAGCCTGCGCCGAGGGTCGTCTTTGAGTCGAGTGAGATGCATCGTACTGCACCGTCGGATGTTCACTTCGCTAGCATGGACGAGATCAACGATAGCTCGATGGACCCCACACGACTGTATGGACGCACAAAGTTGACCATGATCCTTTTCGCCAAATACGGTCTGCGTGACCGCGTCATCAAACCTAATGGTGATAATGTATACGCTCTGTCCGTACATCCAGGCGCTGTCAACACGGCTATGCAGCAGCAGTGGAAGGACGCGTATCCTGGTATTACCGGCCAGTTGTTGTCGAATGCTATGCTCTTCGCTGGACGAGACGTGGAGCAGGGGTCGTACAGTGCGCTTTGGTGTTGCACGGCGGATGATATTGAGGAGAAAGATATGAATGGGTTCTACTTCAACGACCCGGTAAGTTGTCTTTGGCTCTTGGTGAACATCTCACGTTGAACTTCGTGACTGACATGTGATGCAGGGCCAACCAGGCAAAGAGACATCCCAAGCCAGCGACGAGAACCTCGGTGCTGCGCTCTGGGATCTGAGCGAGCGGATCATCAAAGACAAACTTGGCCAAGATGCGCTAGTCGACTGGAGTGCGAAGGAGTAAGAACGTGCTCAAATACAATGTGGGGCAGCTTCGATTACGTCTAATGTCATGCATAATGTGTAAAAAAATCATCATTATCGGCGTGTAGAAAACACATCCAGTAAAAGCTTACAACATCCTGGAAATGGTATATGGGATGACAACAATAACTCCACCATCCTAAGAGACATAAGGCCAAACCCCGCGTTGAGGAGTCATGACCCGCTGCGACCGTCCAAATCCCCGTGAAGACATGAAACGACGTAGACCTTGACAAGATGGAGACTCCCTAACCGCATCATCATCGAGCAGCTCTGGATGCTCATCGACGACCATAAACACCGCCTCCCGCAGATCGACCGCATGCTCGGGAAGGTCTTCGTAAACCCACAAGATGGCGTCAATCATCTCGGGATTAGGATGGTAGTATTGCGCTGCTTCCTGGAACCTCTTCGTACATAGCGCTTGTAGGTCGGGTACTAGGTACTTGTCTGCGACTTCCCAAAGTTGAAGGTGTAGCAACATGTGGCGGGGTGTTGGGGTGTGATAGAGCGCTCGGCCTGAGCCCTTTGGCATGACATGAAGTATTCTCTGTCGTTTCTGGGCAATCTGATCCGATTGTAGATTTGGTGATGTTTGAGGCTTCCGTTTCCGCGAGGTGGATAAAGATGTAGCGCCGACGGCTGGTGATGCTTCTCCGTGGGGCAAGCGCGAACTGCCATCACTATTGTAGGGGTCATTTTGATCGATAGTTTCGCTGTTGGCATACAGGCTACTACCACAACTTCTGATCCATGTCAGATCCTTTGCGCGCGGATCAATCTTCCAGGAAGTGGCGTCGTATTCGCCTTCATGAAAGAACTCAATCATGAGACTGACCATAGCAGGTTCGTCGACATGAAGCGTTATGGTGCCTTCGGAAGCCTCCTTCCCAAATTCTGTTGCGCGCCGAAAGTATTCAGAGTAGGGGGTAATGACGTCCAGATCGACAGAGTAGCTATCAGCCCCGCAGGCTATAGTGAAGTTGGGATTCATGACTCTGGAGTGTAGTCGTCTAGTGTAGGGGTTGAGGTTTGGGTAGGTGTGAATGGGCGAAGGTGGATTGGCAGTGATTGTCGGCAAAGTGGATAGACTCAGTTCTTGCTAGAGTGTTCACGTGCGTGAACAGCCGATGATAGACAAATAGAGTATTCACTCTGTCGCTGACCGCGTGAGCCATTTGCTTTAGGATTTGACATGAACTCACGATGTGGCCACTTTGGATGAGAGAGGCCGCACATCGTGAGATCGAGTTTGCGATGCGGCACTGAACCAAAGACCTGGGGTATTTTCTAGGTTTTGCAGTTTCTGAGCCCCAACCCCGCGTGCAAAACGTCGTCCAGTTGCCGATAAGTGACAAGAGACGTGATTCTTTCATAGATCATGAGGTATGGACGTTGGTGGAAAAGAGACGTGTCCAGCTAGGAGTCTTTGCAAGAAGCCGAGCATCCAATGAAGTCGTGTAGACTGGATGTATGCTCGCTGGCTAGAGAGAGAGTGCTTGGGAGCAATAACTTGGTCTTGTAATCTTTGCGTGTACCCCGGCCTGATTGGAAGAGATGACTCTAACGCAGGACCTAGGATTCAGCACCCAAGACCGAGAATCCTGGCAGGGGGAGATCGTATTGACCAGCATAGCGGGCGTACGGCATGCTCCGTGCAGACAGCCTTAACACGCAGCGAGGATGACCTGACAAGGCCGCAGCTGTGGTGTTCCGTGGCAGGTGGCACGGCCCGATCGGCTAGTAACGCGAGCATGTCCGAGAACGAGAAGATGTTCCGAAGGCACGGCGCGGCGGGGGCGCAGGGTCGTAAACGCTGTGTAAGACCGTCTGGTGGTGGGCTAGTGACCGGTGAGCAACCCCCACCTCCGCTCCATGCAGTAGGCTATAGTCTGCAGCCCAGTCGTGTTCGCCGCTAGGGCTGCAGCTTCGCCACACAGTTGCCACCGTAAGATTGGGGTCCGGATGACAATTTCGCGAGACGAATGGCTCAGCTTGAGCGTATTCTTCCAAGCCTCCAACTGGATCTGCGCGTCGTCCCCGTTGTTGGACTTTGCTGTCGCGTGTTTTTGAGCGCAAGAACAGCTTTTTTCGATTCTAACTGCTTTTTGTTCTCTTTCAGTATCCCTAACTCGTCCGCACCCTCCTCGAGTATGAGTGCAATGAAGTCTGTTCGATTCTTTGCGACAGCGTGATCTAACACGGAAGCAGGTTCGGTGTCTTTGGCGTTAACGTCGGCACCGTGCGTGATGAGAACACGAGCTATTTTGACAAAGCCACGCTGTGCTGCGAGGTGGAGGGGAGCGCGTTGGTGGTCCCCACGGATGTTCGCAAGAGTCGCAGGCTCTGGATGCTGTTCCAGCAGTGAACAAATCTCTGCAACGAGGGCAGGGTCGTCATTGCATTGCGCCACTTTCGAGTGAAAGACTCTCCACTCTTCGCTAGGTCTCGAGATGCCGTACATTGGTCTGGGAAGAATGCTTTCGTCGTCGTCTGATTGTGTTAAAGGAGCGCTCGAAGAGGAAGACGAGACGGAGAATCGCGGGGCCGAAGTCGGATCGGACGCTCTACGGAAGTGTATTGGATCTAATACAGTGTCTGTATTCGAGAACCACCGATCAAGCGAGACGAGGTCATATTGAGCAGGTTGATCCTCTTTGCTGTCATACATTATAGGTTGCTGTATAAGCTTCAGTGCCATTTCTTGTGCTGAACGTTGAGAACTATACTTACTGGTACTGCGGTCTCGGAAACGCGGCGAATGTAGGAGCTGACTTCACTAGCATCGCGTTAGGAATGTATGAGTCTGAGGAAGATCTGTACGAACAGATATGAGCAGGCTCCAGTCACAATGACAATATCTCCCAGGTATCGTCGAATGTCGTCCACCGCTAACTCAATGTCCTTGGCTATTGCGTCCATTCTTCGTTTCACAGAGGCCTTGTCACGAAAGGTCTCCGCGCTTTTACTTTGAGCTCCCAAGTCCGCTATCTTCGATTTGATCTCCCTGAGACGATTGCGACATAGCGTGATCTTCTCGCGTACCAAAATCGACGGCTCGCTGGAATCATCGGGTTCAGCTTGATGATACTTCGAGTTGAGTACGCGTACAACCCCATGCACCTCTGTTATCTTTTCGAGGAGCCGGCTGACCAAAATGTCGATTTCCCGCACCGCTTCGATATAGTCTTTGCATGCTCGGACGACGGCGAGCCCAAGCGATGCGATGGTAATTATGCTCGAAATAGTCTCGGCCATGATTACTTGGGTTCCGTGTACGGTGGCCAGGCCCACTTAAAGTGGGTCCTTAAAGGTAGTCTGGAACCAGGTTATGGTGTTGCACAAGGATATCGTCTGATAAGTGCAGGCGGGAGCGCAACGATGGTTACGGACGTGGCATCGGTTTCATTTGAAGGAGGCCTCTCGCCAGGCGGCTCAAAGATCAAGAAGGGGCTTAGCAGGACGCGTGCAGCCTGTTCGTGGCCAAGGACGAAGACAGGTGATGTGAGAAGCACACGTGTGAAATGAGTTGACGTAAGAGTCAAGTATGAACAGTCAAATGCGCTATGCAAGGGTTGGCATTCGTCCGATGCGTCAACGGGCCGGGGCAACTCCACACGTCTGGAGAAAGCGGAGGGCGGGGGAAGCTCGACAACCACACTATTACAGATCAAGTAGGCAACCGCTTATGTGCCGTCTTGGTAGATCCACAGCCTCCCTTACCACGCTACGTATCGACTAGCCAAGCGGGCTAACGGGACAGCTCATATGTCGGGGAATTCGTCATTCGGAAGCTCATTTCGAACGTTCGCGGTTTCGCATCATCTGGTCCAGCATCTCAGACAGAGACTCGGGAGGCAGAGCAGACGTACCGGCAATGGCGTGTCCTAGCTGGGTAATTTCAAAGCATTCTGCGAGGCAGAGGGCTGAGAGAGAACCAAGGTGTCACCAATAAATCCAAAGTCGCAGGGTGATGCAATGGCTGACCCTAATGCCGGATGCGGTTTGGTAGCACCTGACGGCATTTGGCGATGCACGCGGTTATTGGCTGAGATTCCCCAAGACCACGTTGCCTGAAAAAGGGCAGCGATGCATGCCAAAAGCAAGGGCAAGGCGGCCAATCCACTGAGAGGGGGGTGATTATCAGAACGCAGACCTAATGCTCAGCCACTCGTCTAAGAGGATCTGGAGGTAATTTGGCGGTGGAGGACCCCGACAAAATATGCAGTATGCGCGATCAGGCTCGCCCTTGGGAAGGCCTGTCAGCCTTATAGGACTCAGCCCGATGCGGCAGGCAAAGATATATTGTGATGCTGGGGCGCGTTGTCGCACATTGATTACGGCCCCTAAGCGACATACTCTTGCTCAAAACGCTGGCCACTATGACTGAACTCCTTCAGCAAGCAACAGCTTTTGGAGGCACAGTAGGGAACCAAACCCTTGCGACGAACCAACAGCGCTCAACAGGCGCAAGACAAAAGTATGCGCATGAGTCGATGTTAACAGAATGTAACTGACTTGGCATAGTATAGATAATCCGTTTCTGACGTTCGATGACACGATTCCCGACCTCAAGACTCAACGTACTGAGCTAGAAGAGTATGTTTGGAAATTTGCTTCATTAGCCGGACTCAAAGACCGCTATGAGTTGCTTCGTTTTGGTGCTCGTCTCGCTCGAGACAAGTATGGGGCTATGAGAAAATACGCGGATGAGCTCACAGATTCGGAAAAGGAGTTGTTGGAGAAGGAAAAGGATGATAGTACAGGCTTTTGGAAGCAGTCCAAATTTCTCCGCGCGACAATCATGACCGCAAGTCTTGCGGGTATGATCCAAGGATGGACGCAAAGCGCCAATAACGGCACTGCTCATGGCATGCCAGAAGAGTTTAACCTCTGCTATCGCACGGATCGCATGGGGGAGGAGTGTCCTTCATCCGATCTTTGGACGTTTGGCATGCTGAACGCCATTCCGCTGCTTTCCGCGGGCCTCTTTGGTACCCTTCTCGCAGATCCACTACAGGAGAACTTCTTAGGGAGGCGAGGTAGTGTGATGCTGTCTTGTGGCATCACAATAGCCTCGACAATCGGTGCATCACTTACGCACAATGTTGGCTCACTCGCAGCTTGCCGAGCTATCAACGGAATAGCTCTGGGTGCAAAAGCGTCGATAGGTTAGTGGAAGCTCTCATTCATGCTTATTTCGAGGAGGTTAACAGCTTGTAGTTCCGATATATGCGGCTGAAATATCACCAGAGCATATACGTGGCGCTGTTCTGGCGAACTGGCAGCTTGCTGATGCAGCCGGTACGTCCTCTCCCTTCGATAAGGTATAACCGTTAATCCAATAGGCATCTTTCTCGGGTTTCTGGCGAACTTGCTGGTCGTTATTTACGTGGAAAATCCGGAATCCGCGTGGCGCATTCTTACGAACACAGTACTGATTCCCACGGTGCCATTGTTGGTGATGATATACTTAATGCCAGAATCGCCTCGATACCTGATGAAGCATGGAAAATACTCCAAAGCACTCCAAGCCTTCGAACAGGTCCAAACCACTCGGTTGCTAGCAAGCCGCGATTTCATGTACGCGCATGCTCAGCTGGATTTCGAAAGCCGACTATTGAAAGGAGAGACGAACGAGCTTGGCACCCTGGCCGATCGCGTAGATATCAGCGCGCCGAGCTTGTCTGGAGAGCCATATCCGCCAGCATCGAATCGTATACGTTTCGACAGGCCTTCTCCGCAGAGCGCGGTATCGCCAGGTCGATCGACCCAAGATCCCCACGTCGAGGCAAGCAATTTGGGCACAACAACGGTACCGAGCAACGACCAAGACCAAAGCAGGCCACAGCCCGAGCAGAACGAGACTAGCAACATCGAGCTTGCGACTTTGAACCGGACGTGGAGTGATATCTCAAGCCTAGGCTTCGACTTTGGAGTCAAGCGAACGAAGAAGAATAATCCGTATTCTTACAACATCGGTGTCAACGGCTACTACAAGCGTCTGAGGGAGTTATGGTCCAACAAGCGGTGTCGACGAGCATTGCTGTGCGCTTCCGTATCCATGATCACCCAGACCCTGACGGGCGTCAACACGATCGCCTTCTTAGGGACGATAGTGTGGCCCAACTCCGGAACAAACAGTGATCGTACATCCGCGATAATAGGTCTGGCCTTTGGAGCAGCGAATTACATGTTCGGGCTTCCTGCTTATTGGTCTTCGGATCGATTGGGACGTTCCGTCATGCTTTTGCTCGGCCTGCCAAACATGGCATGGTCAATCCTAGTCTTTGCCTTCCTCTTCAAAATCACCGACACGTCCGTCCAGATACCATTGGTCAGCATCTTCGCGGTCATCTTCGTTGCCTTTTATGCCCCAACAGCCGGTACGTCTCCGTTCTCGATCGCAGCAGAGGTCTTTCCTCTCGTATCGAGGGAGGCTGGCATGGCTGTTTCCGTCGCTGTCAACCTTCTGGGTGCTGGCGTATTGGTACTAGTCTTCCCATTCCTGCAGGACAGCATTCGGCCGACAGCTGCATTCTCTATCTTCGCAGGTTTGAATATGGTGGCGTTTATGCTGGTGTATTTGTTCGTTCCGGAGACGAGAATGCGGACTCTCGAAGAGCTGCAGTATACGTTCGATTTACCAACGGGATGGCATGTCGCGTATCGAGTGGGGTACATACGACAGCATGTCTGGGCGAATTGGTGGAAATACTTGACGCGCAAGGAGGTTCAGCCGCCGGTTCCGTTCTACGAATGGGCGCGAGTGACGTATAGAGAGACGGAAGGTGCCAGCTGAGTTGTGGACATCTTCAGTGGAGGCGGACCGCTGAGACGGAGGTTTGAGCGCGACTGGACGCGATCCCCTTCCGCCAAGCAAATGACGTATCAAGGCTAGCGCGAAAGACCCCGACCACCAAGTGCACGCCCGCACCTGGGGATTAAATCAGGAAGATATGTATAACCAAACATTGTCATCTATCACAATACTATTCCGCAATTTTGTAGGCTCCAACATGGTTCATGTGTGTTGGTTGAGTTTTCCAGCCCGTATGTCTGTTCAAAGTGGGAGCTTCTATTACCTCTTGACGGTGAAGCTGCGCTGAGCATTAGAGACGAGCGTTTGTCCGGTGTTTTCTCAGTAATCGCCAAGATTCTTTACGGCTTCACCCTGATCGACACGGCTCTCGGCTAGCGCCTTCACGAAATAAACGCGGCGTACGCAATGAGATCTATCCTCTATCTCCACAACTCACGACTACCTAAGTAGCAACAGCCTTGCGGTAGAGCACCACCTGAAGCGATCAAGATGACGGATCCATTGGAGGAGATGTAAGTTAGCACACTGAATTCCTGTATTTTACTAATAAGATGCAGCACCTTGCGCAATATGACCGAGTCACCTCTAATCCGACTGCCTGGCGAGCTGCGCAATCGTATCTACGAGTTAGCTGTTGGCGGAAACATCATCGCCGTAACAGGATTCTACAGGCGACCGGGAAAATTGTCGGTCTATCTCACCTCCGCTAATACTTCTGGACCGGACGCAAAAAGCGCCCAGGCGAGCCTACGTGCACCTGTATCGGGAATCTTTACCATCGGCCTCGTATGCCGCCAGCTGCACCGTGAAACAGCGCTCATTCAGTACGCAAAGAATCTCTTCCACTTCGACATCATGTACCATGGCCAAGAATTTGTGGACAGCCTTAGTAGTGCACAACGAGCGCTGCTTACCTCTATCTCTGTCAGGATCGACACCTACTCCATGGCAAGATGGCTCTACCGTTATCCGCGCAAAAGCCCTGACGTGCTAGGCCTCTTCTTGCCCCAGGTGGAGCGTGTCTATATCAGTCCAGAACAATTCAAAAGCCATCATTGGTGGGATGAAGAGAGAATACTGAAGGTGATCGGGCATAACCTGAAGATCGGTACAGGACGCAAGGAATGTGTCTCCCTCAGTCTCATTGATGTGTTCCAAGGAATGAAGAAGCAGGATCAAACAAAGACGATCAAATTGAGCTGGGACGGCGAGACACCCGTCTAATCGGGCTTTCTCTTATACCGACACTACAAGATTCCGTCTTTGCCTCTATATAATATACTATGGGTTACTACTGACGGATCCACTGCGTATCGAATGCCCTCGAGATAGCTAGACTGACAATGGGATAACTCATAATACGATCATGAGAACCATGCTTGATAATCTGTTCTCTGATGATCCCGCGCTTCCCTTTCCATTCCACTTCCCAACCACCAGCACCTAGAGGCGTCCTCTCCTTCGACTTGACCTTCTCTAGCTCTTCGAAGGTAATGGGAGAGGATGAATCAAACATTGCGTTAACAGCGTGCCAGAAGAGGACATCTGAGTGACTCCATGGGATATCGTAGTCATCTTCGGCGTGTATTAACGTGATGTCATAGTTTCGCTGCTTGCCGTTGACATTGATACTGTCGAGCCGGTGAATAAGTGATGCAAGTTTATCCTTGGATGGAAATTTGGTGATGATAAATCGGTTCAGCAGGTTCATAAGCGGCGGAAACATTGCGAGAGGGGAAAGCAGCGGGAGGGTGCGAGCAACCTTGTACGTCCTGGTAAGCGACTCCACATCGGCGAATGGGGCGACTAAGACGACTCCCGCTAGAACGACAGGAGTGGGCTGTGAAGCCAAGTGATGAGTGAGCGATAATGCTACGGCAGTACCCATGGATTGGGCAAAGACCACAATCCTTTCTGGTGGTATACCCGCAGTATCTGTTACGAACTTGAGCAAGGTAAGCGCATCAGTAAGAAGACCAGCTTCCGAAGGCCACCCAGAACTGGTACCGAAACCACGATAGTCGATAGCCAGGACATGTACGTTGGTAGATGTCGCGCTCATCGCCCTGTAACTTTGTGGCCGCCACCCAGATCCCAGGGTGCCTGCTGCACCATGCAGATAGATAACGACTTGCGCAGTAGGATCTTTCAGTAAGCGGAAGGAGATTCGGTCTTCGACATTCGCGCAAAGTCCGACTGGCTCCTCACGGAGTTGGGTTTGATGTTGGCGGTATGTCTCCAGTGGCAGAACGTGCCAAGCATGTAGAGTCTCACCATCTGGCGTCTTGAGATGGAAGGGTTTGACTTGGTTGCGCAGAAAGCCCCATTGCTCGGGTACGTTGATGTCCTGATTCCAGGTTCGGGTTACTCGGTGCAGGAAGATGACGTGATCCTGTAGAGTCGGGATCGTGAGTAGCAAGACGAAACCGAGATAGAACCCGATAAGGCCAATGAAAATTGAGAGAAGAAGCGTAAGCATGCTGGTGGCTATATACCTGGCCTATCTCAAGCTTGAATAGTCCAGTCGCGACCAGGACGATTTGAGATTTACAGTAGCGCTAACCGATGTGGGGTAAGTGGAGCATGACGAAGAACGCCACATATTTGTGTGCGGTTCTCCATGTGATATACAATTCTCGAATGCTAGAAAGTTCACAATGTTGGTGTTGAGGGCGCGTTGCAATTGCGCGTAATTGTCGTGATTTGGGGGATGACCAATCGGGCCTAGCTCAGGGTCATTGCATGTGCCGAGGTTCAGGCCAAGCACGAACCCCCCAAACGCGTCAAATCCACACTCCTTCCTCCATCCCACTCCAAGATACGTTGAAAATAGAAGCGCCATACTATGCTCTGATCGCGACAGTTTTCTGATACCTGCCATGCTATCTAACTCATGCCAAGACTGATATAAGATCAGCGGCATGTGTGGACAAACTCTCACGGACGCGCTGCGAATGGCTGGTATGGCAGTATCACTTCAGACATCGCTAACGACCTCGCAGCTCCGGCGCGTAATCCCATCCAAGCACAATCGTCTACGATATCAGTTTGACTCTAGACTCGGTCCACGCAACGCTAGCACATCCAATCATATCGCACACGGCATGTAGGCTGACTTCCAGGAAGAGGAAGGCACCACTGATGGCGACTTTGGCGACTGGACCGATCCCGAAACCGGTAGCAGCGTAGAAGATGATGACAGCACATGCGAAAATGCTTCCTAATTCGTCATGGGCCCTGGTAATACGGTGAATCAGGAAGTTCGACATTGGAAGGAGATATATCTTCGGTGCTTATACAGTATGCACGGTCGCAGCACGCATGTATCAAGCTTTTACGGGAACCGATATGCGTCCCTTACCGATGAGGATGTTATGCGCATGCTCAACCCGAGAGCGTGGAACGTCATTTGAGCTGACCTCCCTACTTTGCTGCTTTTATTCTCGCAGTGTACGAATGTCCTCACTATTCACTACTCTTTACGTAGCTGAATCGGCCCTCGAACTAATTGAGTATATCTAATATGGATGAGTTGCGAGGGAAAATGTGTGAGCAGCCACATGATCGGTGACCGTATTCCAAAAAAAGACTAGGCTGATGGTTGCTGACCACACCTGTGGAAGTGGCTTTACTATGTCGCTTTGAGTGTATATATGGACATTTGCATCGGCCAGCGATGGAAGGTGCGATTTCCAACCCCAAGTTCGAGATATAGCCACGGTCGACATGGGCAACTCTGCACCGAACATGCAGCTGCCAGACGCAGCGACCATCCTCCAGTCCGTTAACGCTACGATAGATCATACAGCCTCTCTGTTCCCTACTTCTGGATATCAAGTCTTCCAGTCCGTACTTCGCACCCTCCTCATACTTCTGTTTCTCTTTGTTACATATCATTGCTTTCACTATTTCACATGCGAACTTCCGCCGTTTGGCTCCGGTCTCAAAGCTCTCCCGGGCCCGCGCTCAACACTCCCTTACTTAGGTCGCGTTCACGATGTCGACCGCATGCAGGCTTGGACCTCAATGCACAAGTTCAGCAAGCAGTATGGCGGGCTGTTCGCATGTACACTTGGGGGCGAAACGCACATCTGGGTCGCAAGAGAAGATGTTGCGCAAGACTTGATGGTCAAGAATGCTGAGCTGAGTTCGGCGAGGGCAGATATTGGGTCTTTCCCAGGGGTGACACAGGACTTTTTGTACTTGCCTCTGCTCGGGTACACAGGTATGTCTGCCATTACCAAGACTCTGATATGAGCTTGTCACTGACCTCCGACTTACAGATCACTTCCACCGTCAAAAACGATTCGCAAACGCAATGATGACCCGCGCAGCTAAGAACCAATACTACGGTCACATCCAGCTTGAGATGAAGCGCTTTATGCACGAGCTCTCCCGAAAGCCAGAAGACTTCTTCACTCTTACCCATCTCTTCTGCGCTAGAATCAGCTCTCGCCTCGCGTATGGCACTGCCGATCGTTCAATAGAGCACATGATCAACGCCGGCGCCTTCATCTCCCAACTTGGCCCTTCTGGGCCCATACCTAATCTCATGCCGTTCCTAAGATACTTCCCTGAGTGGATGGCGCCGGGTCAGCGCGGAGTGCGAGAACGTCGAGAAAAGGAAGCAGCGCTGTGGAAGGACGCATTCGATCTGGCAAAGGCATCCAAAGATAAGGCAATTTACACCACCGCAAGCTTGGCTACCAAAGCTATTGGCTCCGATACCGACCCTCTCTTCGCTGACGAGGAGGAGGCCAAGGCTGCAGTTGGCATGCTCTGCACTGTCGCGATCTATACTATTGGCGGACCGGCGACGCTATTCGTCATGGCTATGATTTTGCATCCGGAATGGCAAGACAAAGTGCGTCAGCAGATTGATAAGGTAGTTGGAAAGGATGAGATGGTGGACTTTAAGCATAGTCCGCAGTTGCCAATTTTAAGGGCAGCTATCAAGGAATGTGTGAGATGGAAGAGTACTGTACCACTCGGTAAGTTCCTTCTTTCCTCTTTATCCTAGATTTCGATCTGTCCCAAAATCCATACAGCATGAAGCTGACTAGTCATCAGGCGTCCCCCGCCTACTCTCAAAGAATTACACCCACTCCGGCTACCACTTTCCCCGCGGCGCCGTCGTCCACGTTCTCGACATCGCCATGTCTCAAAACCCCACAACCTACTCCTCTTCCCCTCCCTCCGTCTACGACCCTTCCCGCTGGCTCGACCCCTTGTCCCCCAATTTTAAGTCTCCATTGACCGAGTACCCACGCTTGAAGGGCCATCATATCTTTGGGAGGGGCAAGAGAGTGTGTCCTGGCCAGGACCTTGCGGAGGCAGAGTTGCTAGTATTCTGTGGGAATTTGGTCAAGAATTTCAAGCTTGGGAAGAAAGCAGGAATAGAGATTGGGCCGGACCAATGGACACCGCATGTCATCGGGGGACCGTTGCCGTTTCCCTGCGAGATTAAGGCGAGAGACTGTGAGAGGGCAGGAGTGGTTGGCAAGTAGTGGGAAGATGTTAAAGGGCAGATGGAGGTGTGAAGACATTTTCGGTGTTGGAAATGGATACGCGTGCTGTTTTTTTCGGTATATCATACAATCTTACCATTCCCCATGATTTAACCAGTGACAATGCCCCACGTTAACCAAGTGTCAATCGTCTTCTTTCTCTCCAGCAGTCTCTTCTCTTCGCCCTCATTTTCGTATGCTGCAACTCCTCTCCTCTCCTTTGATTCTGCTGTCTCCCTTAGTAGGGTGCTGCCACCATCACTCGAAAGCTCATATGAACGAAACTCCGCGTTCGACCATCCCGTGGCTAGTCATAGATGATCAGCAATCGTCAAAACGATGCAGCGATCAAGAGACTGCAAACCTTGTGCGCTCAACGAGCCCTTCCAGTCATCGGTCAGGAAGTGTAGGAAGCAGCCATGCGAGACCACAACAATGTTGTTCTCTGGTCTGTCTCGAAGCCATTGTCGAGCGCTTTCGGCTCTAGCAAGAAGTGAAGCACTCGTGAGTGATGCGTCAGTCTGCCATACTTGGTAAGCCTACCCAGTACTGATACTTTTTGGAATGCTGGGTCAAGATTTGATGGTCCATCTGCGTACTTTCACTTGCCAGCCCTCTTCTACGAGGCCGAGATCCGCTACGGTGTTCTTAAACTCTTTCTGAAGAACTCCGACATCGCTGCCAGTGTCGCAAGGCAAGTTGCTCGCTTCTTGCAACCATGGCAAGGCCAGGACCTGGACACCCCGTGACAATTCTGGCTCGAATCCTAATAACGCGGTGTGAATTGTTCGTCGTAGGGGTGAAGCGACCACGAGCTCAACTTTGGCGTGGTACGGAAACGTTACTGCAAGTTCGTGGCATTGGCGCTCGCCATACTGCGTGAGCGATGGATCTGGAATGTTGTGGTTGCTGTAAGACAGATTGTGCACACCTTGCGCGTGCCTGACGCAATGAATGATACGTGCCACTATGCGCAGAACAGTCGAATCAGTTTTTGCGCAATATTGTTTTACTGGCGCGCACTCACTTGCACACCAGGACCGCGTGGTAACAGAATTAATGCGACGAGGCTGAGCGAAAGATGGTGCGCAGCTGCCTGATCGGTGGGCGAGTGTGCAGCGGGGCTGTGCTGTCCACCTCAGAACATCTCAGCCGCCCACTTCAGTCCTTTTCTTCATCTCGAGTTCATCTAGGAACAATACCTTCATATCTTGGTGCGAATAACTGTCCAAATGGAGGATTCTGGACCGCCTGCCAAACGTCGCAAAATCACTCTGCGTGCAGGTCACAAGCCGGTCACCAGGGCCAGCCTTGCCCGCACTCAGCAGAATGACTCCAACCTACCCGCCTACACGTATCGAGCGCTCAAGAAAAAAGACGAGATACGCATCTTCAGAGTCGAGAAAATAGGACCAAGCGAATGGCAGTACGATATCGAACATACAACATTGACCGGTGCACCACCCTTCGAAACCGTATCGTATGTCTGGGGTCCAGATACGCGGCGCAACATTCTACGTTTGCGAGATGATCGGACGATACGTATCAACGATAACCTTGCCAAAGCCTTGCCTTATCTCGCGGCGGAGTGCAAGACTGGATATCTGTGGATCGACCAAATCAACATTGATCAATCTAGTACGCAGGAGCGCAATCATCAAGTCAAAATGATGGGTGATATCTATTGCAAAGGGGAAAGAGTTCTGGCGTGGTTGGGTATCGGCCCCAAACTCAACAAATCAACTCTCGCCCTTGTCGAAATGGTCCGCTATTCGCTTGAGGTTCGCAAATGCAACTATGATATACGTGTGAGCATCGAAAGACAGATTCACGAAAATGGCCTCGGAGACATTGTGGCGATACTCCAACTCTTGAAGAGCGACTGGTTCTCTCGTGCATGGGTCTTCCAAGAGATTGTGCTCCCGAATCACGCACTGTTCCTGCTCGGAGACTTGACCTTACCTTTTTTGGTCCTGTTTTTGATCTGCCGGACAGCCATGCTTGCTCCGTCTGAAAGCAACTCTGAAACGCAGCTTCGTTGCCCATCATCTTTTGCGATACTTCCAAGAATGCCAGTCCAAGACGTCGCCCTGATACGACGCTATCAGTCGCTCTACATAATGCACCGCCGCTGGTGGGCAGAGCATAGTAGTTGGGGTAGCATTGGCGGAATCATTCCTTTCACTTGGCTTCTTTCCACAGTCTCACCGTTACTACAAACGACAGATCTGAAAGACTCAGTGTATGCATTTCTAGGGCTACAGCCCTTGACAGATGGTTCTAAATCTATGGAACCAGACTATGATGCCCCTTATGAACAGACACTCGTCAGAGCTGCCACGTCTATCATTCGAGATTCATTGTCGCTTGATATCCTTGCATACTGTGACCGCGAGAAAAGCGACGAACGCTTGCTCAAGCCTTTACCTTCGTGGGTTCCGGAATGGAAAGCAACTATCAAAACACCACTCCTTATACGATCTCCTACTGGCTTTCATAGGGCTTCTCAGGGTCATTCTTGGTTGGATTCTGAAAATCCTCTCGAACTGAGGGTAAGAGTTATACGTATCGACACCATATCCACTGTGTTCATGCCAGAATTCAGTTACCAGTCGGCTAACTGGAGAGAAGAGGATCTTGAAAGATATCTTGCACTTGACGAGAGACTCATGGAAATACAAAAGCACGTGCCATGCTGCTCTCGTGAGCGTCTCTTAAGTGTTATTTTGACTCAAGAGCATCGGCCCGATTTTGCGCATGAGGATTATCATAATCAGGCATACAACCATAGCGTCGAGGAGCATCTAGAAACCTACGATAAATATATACGCGAAGGTAGAGAAATAGGTCCGGCAAGTGGAACTCACATTCTCGACGAATTACGTAACCAAACTTATCTTGTCAACACCAAACATCTCTTTTTAACGAAGGATGGCTTCCTTGGATGCGCAAAGCAACCGCTAAGAGGGGACGAAATCTGTTCGATCAAGGGGTGTCCAGGTTTTGTCGTTCTAAGACCTTGCGGAGGAAATCGTTTCACTGTGGTAGGAATTTGTTCTGTAGAGAATCGGTTCTGGGACATTCACCCTGATGTGGGTACTCAGCAAGGCTTTTTGTACACAATTTGGAAATGCCTCGAGGGCGACGAATATACACTAGTGTGATAGCATAGTACAACATGAGGAATTATTTACTCAGTCATATGTTCAGCGTTCGCCTAATAGGTGAAAACGCTGTGCCTTCTCATTATTTAACGATAATAAAATAAGTTTACACCCAGAAACTTACGGAACTATTAGACCATCTATTTAAAAAGTTTGGCTTTAATCAGACTGCAGACCCGTTTATATTTGTCGTTGTATAAGAGGGGATAAGAGGACCAAGGAAGCAAACTCTGCGACTAATCACTATCATTTGCCTGGTCTATTACTCTATCAAAGCTATTACATTAATCTCAGTTCACCCATTTCGTAAAATCCATCATTTCCGTCTCATTAATCATACATCAAAATCCTCTAGTAGTAGGTGTAAACAGGCGAGGCAGGAAGAGTGCCAAAATCACCAGAGCCGAAGGGGCTGCTGGGCGAGACCTTTCCGCCATTGACATCAGAAACGCCGAACCAAGCAAGCTCACTGCACTTGCTGACAGTGATAACAGCGAATGCGGGCGCGGGCTGCGCGGTGTATCCCCAAGAGACGGTCAAGTCAGTACCGCATGACTGGTTGGACCAGCTCTCGGTAGCAGCGTTGGAACCCGGCATGCGGATAAATGTGCAGTGCTCGGTCTTGCCATCCGCGGTGAAGTCGAAGTTGTAGTCGCAACCCGAGTTTCCGTCGATGCAGTAGCGGCTTAGGTTCGAGACGGTCCATGTCTTGCCCTCAACGGGCTTGGGGCTGGAGTTTGGTGTTCCGGTTACCGCAGGGCAAGGAGCAGCAGTTGGTGTAGGGACAGCGGCGGGCTGAGATCCAGCGGAGGGCGTAGGGCATGAACCTGGGTGAGCAGGGTTGCAGCCTCCGGGAATGCCAGAGATGGATGAGAAAGTGGCAGCTGGGGCAGAGGTTGGGGTAGGGCACGATCCAGGATGCGCTGGGTTGCAGCCACCGGGGATGCCGGAGATGGACGAGAAGGCCGCCGCTGAAGTAGCTGTTGAGGTTGTCTTTGGGAGGAGGGCGATTTGAGATGAGCACCATTCGCGGATGCGCGCGGCGTCCTCACCGTAGCAAGCGGTCCGGTCGCATGAGCAGATGACTTCAGCAGTTCCTGCGGCGACGCAAGAGTCGTAGGCGATTGTGCATTTGTCCTCACGCATGCGCAGAGTGGGAGATGCTGATGCAGCCGATGCTAGGATCAACGCGATGGCGGCAGATTTGGCGAGCATGTTGGCTAGAATGTCTTTTGGGTCTTGGGTCAAGTGGAAAAGTATAGTGTGTGTTGAGGGGATGCTAGTAGCTGTTCTTGGCTGTCGATGGATGATGAGGATGTAAACAACTGGAGATGCGATGGCTCGACTATATATCTTTCATGTACATGGCCACCACGATGTCATCCTAACTGTCGGTAGTAACGGAGTGTGATCGGATATACGGAGGAGGAACAGCTGATCACGTCCTTGCTTAGCCCTGGTGCCATGTTGTGGCTCTCGTGAGGCTCTCGGAGAGGCGATTGCGATCTCATTGGCTCGCGAGCGGGACTTCTACGACGTTCGGCTCTTGTTGCGCCGCAATACGAGGCTCAGTCGCATGATATGACGATATTGCGCTTAACACGAGGAACGTTTCCTGGTTGAAGGTTTTTCGATAGTTCGGATGCATCCCGGCGAGGCTTGATGGGCAGCTAACGACTAGTCGCTCCATTATTAGCAGCCAACTATGGAATAGCACCTGTCAATCGAGCTTGACGAAGCTTGAAAGGTGATCGCTTCGGCTGTCATCCGAGCAGCGGTGACAAAATAGGACGAAGTTGCAAGGTAAAACTACATTTGATGTTACTTTGGGGATGCACGTACTGTCTACCCGGGTAGTCCCATGTGCCGAATACGATGTGGCCGGAAGATTTGTGAGTTTGTGACGTGGTTTTCGGCTAGCCGATCGTCTCCATGAAAACAAATCCCCGCGTCCGGACACTCCGCTTCCAGACCATCACGAACGGCGCTTCGTTGTTGTCGCATGCCCCGGCGGCCGCGATTTGGAACGTGCTGGAGGGCGAGGCTGAGCTGGCACAGTCGGTGTGTGCAAGTGGTAGTCCAGATCCTAGTCGCCAAAGGCAGGTTCTGCTAAGCTTTGCGCGACAATGGTATCGAGCCTCGTGCACTTTCGTCCCTGGTTGAAATCCCGTCGCAGCTTCTCGTCTCTGTCTTTCCTGCTATGGTGGATGACTCAAAGTTCGTGAAACGGCGCTGCAAGCAAATCGTCGGCGACATAGCATTCAGCGCATGCGTTGTAGCAAGAAGTGACATTTTTCACAATGAGTCGTTCCGTTTCGCAACGACGTGATGTGGTGCCATTGAACAAGAATAACATCGAGAGCTCCAGCCTCACACTCAGGACAGTCGCACTATATCGCATCGATCCTAGCGCCACCATTAGCGCAACGCCATGCCGCTCCCGTCACCCGCAATCGTCATCACCAAGACCAAGGGATGACCATAGACAGCAAACAACGCGCTGCCAACGTCCACAGACACTCGAGATAGACCCACCATTATATGCAAAGCCTTACATGATGGCTGCCGCTGCTCCCGAATCCGCCGACGTGACTGGCGCACGTAAACTGCCCACAGCCGAGGAGTTGTCGGAAGCGCTCAAAGTTGATGTGTACGATCGCGAAGGCAAGACAAAGACGTTGGGCGAACTGGTCAAAGGCCAGAGGACTGTATTGGTGTTCACTCGGCATTTCTGTGAGTGCTGTTCAATCGCAGGGTTCATGTGCTACTACACTTGCATCATCTCGATCAGAAGGGTAGTGGAAGACCAGGATACGTGAAGGATTCTAACATCGACAGGGTGTTTGAACTGCCAAGCGTACGTCCGCTGTATTAGCGAGTCTATACCGCCCTCGAACCTCCCTTCCAATACTCAGAGTAAGCATTAACTGTGCGGAGTCATTACACATCTATCTAACAGATAGTGTTCAGTTCTCATCATAGGATGCGGCTCCTATCAGCCCATCGACACCTATGCTGCCAACACTTCGTCCAAATATCCCATCTACACTGACCCAAGTCTTCGGCTGCACAAGCTCTTCCAGTTCAAGTCCAATCTAGCTGAGGGCAAAGCCGGTGATGAACAGCGAGATTACATGCGCAACGCGGGTAGCACCATGTCTAGGATCTTCGGCGGCATCAAGGGTGCGTTGGGAAACCTGCAGCATGTGAACTCTGTGGGGCCAAAGGCACTGAATGGTGGGGAGGTGATTCTATCGGCCGGTAAGTGGTCAGATGTAGACTGGTCTTTTCGCGGTCGCACTGCTAACGAAAGGCATTTGTAGATGGTGAATGCGAGTACATGTACCGCATGCAGAATACGGTTGATCACACCAACATCTCAGAGCTTGCGAAGCTGGTTGGAGCTGAGTTTACCCCAGTGAGCGGCGACGAGGGCAAAGAGCAGACTGGCAATGGCCCAGCGTCATAGTTCTCTACAGTCCACATCTACGCGGCGTACAGAAATCGCTTTAATTGAAATATCATAAAGTCCAACACGTTTTCTCATCATCTGATCCGTTCGTGAGGATCGTTCTACCGGACGAATTTGTTGACCTCATGGGTAAGCTAACTATCCACGTAGCGCAGCCAAGGTCTCTTCAGTGTTCTTGGGCGTGATCCATCCATGATCGAATCGATCCTTCGCATCGAAGTATTCGAGTCTCATTTTATCCTCCTCGATTAGCCATTCCAATGCCTCAAGCGGGGTTTCACCCGCATCGTTCCTCGCATCACGCAATTCAGGCCAGCGGGCAACCATACAAGCTGCACTTTGGTACATCCCACTGAGAGCAACAATGTGCAGGAGATTGCCACCTGAAGAGTGTAGGACAACCCCAGAGATCTCCTCCGCGCTGATCTCACTGTATTTAGTATCCAGGTTTTCGCGGAACAAGTGGTCTGGAGATGCAAGGGCGTCGACGACAATGTTCATGAAGTCCTCGGTACCTTTGGATGGCTGTAAAGGCGCAGGATCGAAATCATCTACTACGGGTAGGCGATGGCACGGATGACTGGCGTCGCTCGACAAGGCGAAGAATTTCGTGTTGCCCACACGTCGGAAGCCGAGATCGCGAAATCTCTGTTCTTGGTCATCGTGAAAGGTGCAAGGAGTCGACCCCTTTGCAGTGCTTTCCCGTGAATTGACAAACGCATACACGGGCTTCTTGAAATGATCTGAGAAGCCTTGCAGTACATTTCGCATGATGCGTGCGCTCCCACCGTGGCATCGAGCGGCATGATTTGTCGTGGTACCGTTGAGCAGAAGGAGAAAACCAGTGTCTAGCTCCGAACCCCAGATGCCAGACCCTTTCTTGACGATGTGCTCTTTGTATTCCTCTCTGAAGTGACCGTGGCGATTGAAGAGCTTGAAAGCGAGTTCTTTGATCGGGCCCGGGGTGGCGAAATGATTCATCTGGCGATAAAAGTCGGACATTTGAGTGCGGTCGATGAGATACCCAGGCTGGAGATCGAAGTCAACGCTCGTTGGCCCGTTGCGAACGAACTTCTGCCAATCCATCCCTTCTAAAGACAATTCTAAAGATAATGTTAGTCAGTGTCTGTATTAATGTTCGGTGGTGTTAAAGAGTGGTTTGTGATCGAAGCTCGTAAATTACGAGAAAAATGCCAACACCAAATCGTCCACAACGATTCCAACGAAATATCCCGAAAACCGAAATCCTGGAAGAAATACAATCCAATTCCACGTGAAATAGTTTTGGGTGTATTCTGAAACTGGATGCAGCTTCTATACTCCACCCCCCGCGTTTCTACATGTCGTGGTTGCTCCATGTCGTCGCCGCAAAAGTTGAACGAGCGAACTTACCGATGATCTCGTATCCAGCGCAGGACGTAACCTGATGAGAAGCGGAGTAGTTTTGAAACATTTCGCACGATCAGACTCGTCAGATAGTGAAATATTGGGGTTTTAGATGGTGGGTGGGCAAAAGGTTGAAGTGAAGGAGCAGGGTGAAGAAAGAGGCAGCGGCAGGAGAAGAAGTAGGTAAACCCTTATCGACCCCGCACATATGAGCTTAACTAACACAATCTAGGTTCATACTGCGACGTGTCAATCTCGGCACTTCTGCGCGCTCAGTCAGGCCATGAGTGACGCTTCAGCGGCACGGCGTCAAGCAAGATCAGACCTGGAGTCGGTCCACACATAAATCCGGCACACCAAGATGTGATCGACTATTCTTTGGAACCTTTCTTAGCCCACGAAAGCCTGCGTTGACGAGCAAGCTATCCTCCACTTCCCGGTTCACCACCAACGAGCAGCCATGACTGGCCAATCACCAAGCTCCCAGTCCCAATAAGTGCACGGCTAGTATGCAAGTCGAATTTACTTCTCAACTAATTCGAACAGTAATACATTTCGGTATGCATGATTTTGTTTCCATCATGCCAAATGACTTCCACGCATGCGTCCCGGACAAGTGGTTTGGTGGAAGACATAATGAGATCTCAATAAGTGTGCACATCACAAGAACAAGTAAAAGCTGGGTTGAGTTCATTGAAACAACATACATTGACAAATTCATGGGTATATCTCTATCTAACATATCAGTAGTCTATAGGAAATCATTACTCCAGTTGCACATCTATATCTCCAGCCCACCAGCAAAGGGATCTCTCGCATCACTCCTCATCTTCGCAACCTCTTCATGCTCCCTCCTCAACGCTCTCCAATCAAACTTCTCAAACGCAAAACTCCACGTCTTCTCCGCCACACTCAACATCCACTTGCTCATTGGGCCAACATCGTCACCGTGGAAGCTCTTCCTTCCCACATGTTGGACCAGACTGGGTGTGACTGCATATCGCAGCTCGTTGCGTTCGTTGGCAAAGTCCTCTGTTATGACGTCCATGTATCCTAGATGGCGTTCTTTGAAGTACTCAACGAGTTCGCCGGCTTTGACGTTGGGGAAGACGAAGGCTTGACTACAGCAGGCGAAGCGCGGCATCTCGTGGACGCCGACGGCCATGGGCTGGACGGTGATGCGACCGAGGCCGAAGTATATGAGGATGAGAAGGGCGAGTGTGGTGTACATGGCGAAGAAAGTGCGGCGGGTCATGAGGGCGAGGGTGAGTTTAGTGGTGGGTTGTGCGAAGCGGAGGAAGAGGATGACGACCGTGGGTACGAGGGCCACGTAGACTGAGTTCTTCAAGTACGTCTTCCACTCCTCGGCGTTCCAGCCGAGAAACTCTTCGGTGTAGAAGAGGCGTAGGTAGAGGAAGTCGGGTTTCGCGCGCTGTAAGGCGGCTTGTTGCTCGGCTTCGTGGATGGCGCCGAGGGTACGGTGGTACCAGCCGTCCATGGCTACGGTGTCGTCTTCGAAAAGAGCAACATAGGGTGTATATTGTTCCGTACATTTGTTCAACAGGTATTGGTAGTCGAACAAACCCTTCTCGATATAGTTGTTTCGTGCCTCCATTATCCGAATGTACTGCATGCGGTCGTAGCCGTATCCGTAGGTCAATACCTCGTCGGCAAGACCAGATAGCCACTCCTCGTTGTACGCAGGGTGTGCCCCGGGGTTCGAGTGGGGTATGAAGACGATGAGGTATATCTCCTGTCGCTCTTCAGGCGTAAGTCCTTCAAGTAGCGAGCCCACAGCATCCGGCAGATACTGAGCACCGTCGCGCTGGTAAGAAGATATGCCCACACATAGTTTCCGCTGCTTCTCGGGGCCGGCCTTGGTTACGTTTGCGGGGTTGTAGGACTCAACGAAGGACTCGGCTTGTTGGCGTCTGACGGCGGAATAGCGGGGGGCATAGCCTTTGCGTGGGTTGAAGAAGATGGAGGTAGGATCGCGTGCGGATATCGAGTTGATAGTGTAGAAGAAGCTAACAGCGACGAAGACGGCGATGCCTATGACCAGGCGGGAAGGCGAGAAATGCATAATGTGCGACTAGACTAGTAAACGAGAGTGAGAATGCTCCAAGGGTATTATCGCATCGCTAATCGAAGGGTGGAAGTGGAAACGAAAGCAACGCCGGAAGGCAGGTCATGTCATCGTCAGTGGCAGCGTCGTGGTTGACAAACAAGAAAAGGTGGAGGGAGAAAAAAAGATAGGAGCGACGACGCGCGCTCAAGATGAGGCGGGCTTGAGCGGCCTGAGCTGAGCTCCACCAAAACGGCGGATCTTGCCTTACGAGGATCTGCCGTAGCTGACCAGTGACCAGTAACCAGTAACCAGGAAGATAAAATTAGCAGACCAGCATGCGCGTGGGTCGGTGCTTGGTACTCAGGGCGATGACGGGGCGCGCAAGATTGCCATGCCTGTAGTCGCGATCACGAGAAATGAAGCCCATTAATGCCGGGTCAATAGGGGGAATCCGTGATCAAAAAGTATGGAAGATTCCATGCCCCTCGGTGGTTTCGGCGGTATCAGCGAATGAGGCCGTGAGCGACAACCACGGTGTCAGCTTCTGCTCTTCGTTTGTGAGGATAGGAGAAGGAGAGAGATAAAAGGGTGAGGAGCGACGGTCTGGACAGAACTATGTGCTTCCCGCGTGTTTAGCGTGACTGTTGACAGTGACAGCGACTTGACAGACGGTGGCAACTCCGCCTCTCCCGTGCCAATTTGGAGAAGTTTCCAAAGCTGGCTACACCATACGGTTGGTTTTGCGATAATCACGATTAGATTGCCGAGGGCCTATATGATCGCTCGGTTCCTTCCCACCATCTAGCATACGGGACGAACGTTCCTTCCGACAGTTAACGGGTCAAAATCAATAGTCGCTCCAACACGTGCGCAGGCGTGTTGGCGCGCGCCACAGCCGAAGTGGCGCGATGACGAGCCCGGAACATGGCCGCATCTGATGCCATCTGCGCATGCATCGCATTGAGTCACCATCCCATCGTCGCTGCTTTATCGACATTCTTGCAGGGCTTGTAACACTCAGCCCTTTCTTTGATCCAGTCATAGCCGTTTGACTCACCTGCCTTGATCCCCGCTTACTCTCGAGTCACTCATATAGCGTACCAGTGCCAGCACCAGGCAGCTTCCGGCTCCACGCGCAGCAGCAGCAACCGTCGTCGGTGCCATGCCCAAGAAGCACACGCCCTCGTACACAACAGCAAAACCGTCTTACGTTCACCCCTCGCTACAGAGTTCGCGCTCCCCCGCATCCTCGTCCTCGTCGTCTGAACCCCAAACCGTCAATCAGCGCATCCAGCAGCTGCGTCGCGAACAAGCTCCGAGAGCAACGCCCGAACAGCGGGATGAGCTCACCTCGGTAGTAAGCAGTCGTACCGTTCCGCCAGAGCTGCGGCGCATCCTGCACATACCCGAAGTTAATGCTCCCAAACCAAAGGCGAACACACGCACGCGGAGGGTCATGGGTGGTGTGAGACCCCCACCAGGCCCCGCGGCGCCTACAAGCTGGTTGCAGACGAGTCGGCATGCGCCAGCGTACGCGAGGAAG